AACCTCAATTTTTTTTGCCTTCTCTTTCCCTGCTTGGTTGTTTTCCTATTTGCTTGCATCAGTGTAGTTTCCAAAGTTCATCTACGTACATCAATAGTTGCTGCAAAGTCTTACATCCTGCCCTTGGAAAGAACAAGATTCCTCTACAAATCTCCCTCAGAAAAAATACACCATGAGACTTCTCCAGCTTTAATTCATCTTCCACGGCCAGATGTCAGGCAGGCAGCCTAGGAGAGACAAAGATGGATTTGGGTTTTCACTTTCTTCATACTGGCCTGTAAATGGTTGTCCTGGTCCTGCCAGGAGTGTTGAAAAACACGCCGCTAGCTCCCCCACCGCGCTGCTCGCCCCCACCTCCGGCGCAGTCAGTTCTGCAGCCCCCGGGCACTACCCTGCCTGCAGGCTCAGCCGTGCCTCTGCTTTCACCCGCTCCTGGGTGCCCGAGCCCGGGGAGAGTTGCCCTTCACAGGGCTGCCCTGCGCTGGTGGGTGGCTCTACGGAGGGATGGGGAGCTAAAGGCACAGCTTTGGGAACTGATTTTGACTTGAGGGGCTATTTACAGTTCTCTTGGCTCAGTCCTTCTGTGAAAGAAAATAAAAAGGTGTTAATTTAGTTTTTAAAGGCAGCATTGTTCACAATATGACTGGCTGCCAGCCTGCTTATCACCACTCTCAATGCTGATCAGTCCTAGTGCTGAAGGACTCTCTTATGAAGTCCAGGGTAGCAGTGTCCAGCTGCAGAGGTGAAGCACCCTTTTGCAAGCACTGCTTCCCTCCCTCTACCTCTGCTCTCTCCTTTTGTATTCCATAACTCAGCTACAGAGGAGGATTTTGCTGGTTGACAATTGCGCAGCATAACCTGGTGCATAGCCCAAAGGGAGGAGGGTGTTCATGCTAGGCAGAGCACTGAGAATTCAGGAGGGACTTTTATAACCTACTGAACCACATCAGACCCAGGCAAGATCTAAAGATTATGTAGTTCTTTTCAATGTTTTCTGTCCTCACCCCTGCTTTTTTTTAATGCCAAGCCTGCTAATGGTTTATGCTAGTTGAAAAAACAGTTCAAGTGTTGCCCCTGTATCAGAGTGGCAGTGAAGCGTGCGTGAGGGTTTGCCCAAGTGGCAAAGCATATCTGATTTGAAAAAAAGCAAACAGCTGAGGCCATTCGAACAAGTCATGCTCCTGTACACTTTTAATCAGTTGTGTCTGCCAAAAGAGACCTTGCACAAGCAAATCTGGCTTCATGCAACAGGAACATTTTTGCATGTATGCAAGCTGGCTTCGACTTCTTGATAATGTGGTCTCTGGAAGCAGTGCTAATGTGCTTGTTATATTCCTGGCTGCTGGAATTACCTTAATATCAAGGTATTCATGGTTGGTGGTTTGGTATGTAGCTCTACGTTTTATTGACTTTGTCTGCACTAAACTTCCTTACCAGCATGTGCTCTGATGGGGAGTCTCCTTTGGCTGTTCCAAAGGGCTGGTCAGGAAAGGAGGTAATTCATAGGACATTAGAGTGCTAGACAAGTCTGAGACGATTTCATTTTCTTGCCTTTTGAAGCATCTGTTTCCTTAACCGTTTTTCAGTTCACTTTTATTTGCAGTTACAGTTTGAGTAACTGAGTAATTATTTACAGTAATAAAAAATACTTCATCAGTGTAAAATCAGTTAGCTAATGGACAGTAGATGTTCTTTTAATTAAAAAATGTAGACTACTATTATTATTCAGGCTTGTTTGCTTATATTAACTTACTGTGGTGGACGTGTTTTCTGATTTAGAGGGAAAGGAGTAGAAACCAAACAAACCAAAATCTTTCAGCTGAGGTGCTGGGGATGGTTGTCACGGTGTTGAGTATCTGAGGTGTCTATATAAGGTATAAGGTGGGAAATAGTAATGGTGTTATAACGTGGATTTTATACATACGGACACCCACGAATCATTTATTGTGGGATATTGTACTGGTCACCACTCAGGAAGCGATGGGGAAGTGGAGGGCAAGGGAGAACCCTCCTCTGAAGCCCGATTTTGTTCCACTGTTGGTTTTATCAGAGTTTCTTCCCCCAGATGACTGCTGCTGGCTGCTGCCAGTGATAAGGGAAGGGAGCAGAGGCAGCGCTGCTCCAAGGCGGCATGACAGATCCTCTCTTCCCGTATCAGTGTGGCAGAGAAGAACGGAAGTATTTCTGCAGGGAACGGAAACCAAGATGAAGTTCCCTGGAGAGGAAAAGAGCACTAGAAGAATTCAGGATCACACAGGAAAAAGTGATGTAAGAGGAAAAAATAGGAAGCAAATCAACACAAAAAATACCCTACCACCAAAAAAAGCACCAGAAATAGGCTGCGATCCATTTGAGGAAATCACTGTGAAGCTGAGTAACTTTGTCACATACAGAAATACAAATCAAGGGAGGACCCAAAAGATGACAGGGGAGCTCTGACACAGCCTCTTTCATCTATGGCGGACTCCAAAACTAACAGCCTTGCCGTCCTGACCTCACATGTGGAGATCGACTTTACACATGGGGACAGTGAGAGGCATAGTGCCTCACATAGAGAGGCACAACGAGAAATGGCTTTGGTTGTGAGTTGAAAGACAGTCTGGAGCAGCATGCCAAACATTGCCTAGGGCTGCAGCAAAGCTTTACTTCTCAGGTTAAGCCTGAAATGGCAAATTTTGCAGCTGTCCCTCTGTTGGCGTAGCCTAGGGAAGACATTGTCCCTTGCAACTACCTTCCCACCACCCACTTGCCTTGTGTCGGGGGGGAACTCTTCTGCTATGGCATCTCGGTACGTCTGCAATGTTAGGTGTCCTCCACCAGGTCTGGAAATGTGTCAGGCTGCAGTGTCAGGATTTGCTCCGTTCAGGGCTTCCAGATAGGGAACAATATATTTCAGGGCAGGGCAGAGCAGAGGCAGGGGCAAGAACTCTTACCAGGCCTTTGTGTGGGTTGAAACTGTGGACCCGGCTGGTGCTGCAGATGAACGGTGCAGCGTATGCGTACCAAGTCTAGCATATGAAGGAAGTATCAGAGCCACAGTGCATGTGGGGCAGAGCTGCTCTGCCCAGCATGCCCAGTGCATCCCAAACATGCCAGATTTATTACACATATGCCGACCACTTGTGCGGAAGGCAGTGTTTCTTGGGCACAGTAGAGCCATGGCGAGTGTGGTGTGCCGAGTGTTCACGTGCCCCTTGCCTCGGGCCACCTCTGACCCTGACCAGGTAAGTCTGCTCTTCACCGAGCCCATGAGCCCTGTCCCTGCCCCACCAGCTCAGGCCCACCAGCTGGAGCACCGAGGAGGGAAGGTGGAGCCTTGGCCGTCTCCATCCTCGTGGCCTCTAGAGGAGGAGGAGCCGGCAGCCCTGGGGAGCTGCTCCCAGGAGCAGGCGTCCAGGTAGGCTGAGCAGAGGGATAGGATGGGATGGGGACGTGTCCCCAGCACTGGATTGGAGAGACCAGCCATCTCCTGGCCTAGCAATTTGTGGCAGGGAAATTTGTTCTGACAACGTAATGTTTGTGCCTGGAAGTAATGGCTAAGGGGAAGTGTGCTTGAGAGGAAGAAGCGTACTTATTTCGGGGCAGATTTTTGCACATGTTTTATATCCATGGCTTATCCAGGGTGAGGCTTGGTGTGGGGAATGGAGCAATGGAGCCTCTTCACTAAGCGGTATGCATTTTCCTAAAAGGTTTCCCATTAGAGGTTGCATGTATTTACTGTGCACTGACAGTAGCGCTTGATTTTGAGTTTGCCTAAAGAGCAGTTGCATGTACGCTCGTTCCCACCCCTACCCCTCCCATCCCCGCCATTTCCTCCCGTTGTTCTTTTTCAGATCACTGGAAGGTTTTTTCCTGTTTATTATCCGGACATGCTGCGCACTGTGTGTTGATTTGACTGTCACATAAGGAATCTCCTACTGGGGTCGTTGATGCATTCCTTTCTTTTATATATATATGTATATATGGCAATGGCTCCTAAGCTATGGAAGAGAAATGTTGGTGATTAAACCAAAATTGGAATGAGCTACAGGTGTTAATGGGAGTTAAGTTTAATTACCCTTTCCCAGAAAACCTGCAACGGTGTGATGGGTATAGTCATAAACAAAAATTCTCCTTAATTGACATAACAGGAAAGGTACTTCAGTGAGCAATTATGCTGATGTCCTGGACTGGCACATGTGTGTACCACAAATATATCTTGTACTTCCTGCAAAATTCTTTTAAGTAGCTGTAAGGAAGACGTTATGGTTTTTTTTTTTTTTCAGTGGTTCACGAAAACGAATCACTTACTTAAGGCTCTTTTTGAGGAAAACAATGGAACAAAACAATGCTTTTTGTACGACCTGCCAAAGCACAAAGGATGCATGGGATGTTTTTTTCTTTGTTGTTT